GAAATGAAAGTTCTTTTTCGTGTTTGCAACTCCACTTATATTGCAGGCTGATTGCTTGTGATGAAAAGAACGGGTATAGCTAAAAAAATCCAAATTAAAGTTATTCATGCGTTTATAAGCAACCAAAAACTATTGTGTGACGTCACAAAAAGTTACGTCAGCTATTATTTAAGAGAATAAATTATCGTTCTAAAGGAGAAAACAAAAAATCTAAAACGATACGATTGTTAGGTACACCAAGATCTTCATTTTATCGAATTAGTAGCATTTTTCAATGAAAACTGAAGAAAGTAAACCAAGAGGGTTGAGTTTAAGGAAAAAGTATTGTTCCGGATCGACACTGAAATTAATTTAAATTGTTATAATTCATAAAATATTTGTCATATTGAGAAACGGTTTTCAGTACATTGTTCTCCTAGTCGTGCTTTATCATTTGATGTGGTTTATAGTGTGAAATTATAAACGTCATATATCACGTGTTGTTAACGTCATTAATTATGACGTCATAATTTTTTACATTTTGTCAGTTTTTTCCAACTAAAATGATCAAGACAGTAATCCAAGGATATAAGCAAAGCTTAACGAAAAACGAAGCAAAATTGGTGTACTTGCACCTGTTTAGCGCTGGGAGGGGGTTAAATCCCCAGTGTGTTAAAAAAAAAAAAGGGAAGACTGCGGCTATGCTCTTTGGAACTGCCAAAAGAATCAATCTTCAGGGGAATGAGCTTAATATCTCTGTTAGTGGGACACGTATCAACAACACGTTTGTTTACAAGTACTTGGGCGTTGACCTAAAGCCAAATTTGAACCTTACATCACCCTTTGATAGAATTTACAAGAAAGCAGCGGGCAGAGCTAACCTTTTAAGGTCAATCTGTTCGTCGATCGACCAAAACTTTGCTAAAACAATCCGCTATAAAACAATGATCTTGCCTATCTTTACATACTGTGGATCACTTGGTCTTGGTTGGTCAGACGCCCGAAAAGGTCTGATAAAGAACATTGAACAATGCAATTTGAAAATTATTGGTAACAGCGATCTAAAACTACCATCAGCATAAAACGTAATTAAGCGCAAAAGCAGTCAGTGTGTCTTCGAATGTCTTCAAAATAATGTTTGCACACCCTTAAGACCTACTTTGAAAGATCACTTCACTCTAAGAACACAAGGAACAACGATTTATCAGTGAAACTACCTAAAGTTTGCCTTGAATTTGGGAAGAAGAGCTTTCACTATCAAGGAGCCAACATTTTTAACGAGTTACCGATCGAATTTAGATCTATAACTTGAAGACTTCAATGTGTTTAAAAAATGGTAAAGTGAACATTTTCATTAATTTTGCACGCCTTTGTTTGCACGTTTTTACCTTTATTCACCTTAGCTTCTTACCCTAATTTCACTATAGTTGACTTTACAGGACCCCTTTGATAACAGTACTAGTGTTTAATACGCTGATGTGTCATCCTTTTAAAATTTTCGTTATTATTACTATCAACAGGACAAAATAAAAATAACTACCTGCATGAGCTTCCCGGGAAAACCAAGGTGCAACCATCCCGTCGGATGCATGCAGCTAATTCTAATCAACAATAAAGCACTGTTTAGGACTAGCAATTCTTCTAATGGAACTAAGGGATCACGAAGGTAAGTTAAAAAATTAATGCTTCGTACCAAGCTGTTTTATGAAATCTCTTCTGCTTTGAGAAAACCGTGTAGTGATCAACAGACGACACGAGACTAATCCATTTCTGAAAAAAGCTTCAATTTCGCGTTTTCTGAAAAACTTTCTGACGTAAATGTATATATAATTTGCTTCTGGAATAAATATAATATGTAAATTTGTATAAAAAGATTTTCTGTTTGTTTGATAAGTCGGTCAGTAGCTAGGTTATGCCAGTTCGACCACAACTCGACGGTCCTCGGATTGTAATATTATTATTATATATTATATAGCAGATCAGGGGCAAATCTGCCGATATAAATCTCTACCTCGTTATCTTATTGCTGAATGGTTACCATGATTAGAATCTGGCAATTTGTGTTCAAATCCAGGATCAGGTTAAAATTAATAATAAGCTTTCTTATTCAAAGAAATCTACTCGTATTTTTCCTCTTTTCCAAAGTCAAATGTCACGTCATCTCCAATCAGCACAAATGGTGCCCAGTCGCGAACCTTGGCAAAGCCGTTACCTCTCATCCATTTCATGGCCTGGTGAAGAGATTCACTGGCACTCTCCCCGCGAACAAGATGCTCGTAGAAACGACACATCAGCTGCTCTGTAACACTGTCGCTTATTGCCCAAAGAGCCACCAGTACTGACCGTGCACCAGATCCTAAGAACGCTCGAGCGATTCCAATAACTCCCTCAGCTCTTATCTGCCCACGTGCACTATGACAGCAGCTAAGTACCACCAGTTTAGCTCGCAGTTCAACTTGCGCAATGTCAGGCATCGTCAAAAGGTAATCTTCCTCTTTTGGAATTCTATTAGTAGAGCGTACGGGAGAAAGGGCAATTTCACCTCTTTCGGCATCACCATGTGCAGCAAAGTGCACCAGGCCCACTAAAGGTAACCTTTCAAGTACCGCCTGCTTTGTGGCGTGCTCTCCTACCAAAGGCTGTACACCCAGCAGTCGCCCAATCATGGCCGCTTCATTTACTGCAAAGGGTAATCTAGAAAACTTCGTTTTGCTTCCCTTGTAACGTACTCTACCAACATCTGGATCTCCTACGATCAGGGCTCCATTCTGATAATGATAGTCTGCTGGAATGTCCTGAATGAGCTTGAGAGTCGTCAAAGAAGGAACGATGCGAATCCTAAATGTTTCGGATAAATACTTTCCATCTTTATCAATTAATGCGGCAAATGGAAGTTGGTTCAAGAAGCGATCAGGAACAATGATGATTTCGCGCTCCTTAAGCAAGTCCGCAACAGGACCGATAATCATTCTGTGATACAAAGAAAGGCTTGACTCGGGGTTTTCACTCCTTTCATCTACATCTTCTTCAAGTCGCAAAGATGCGAGGCCCTCTTCTTGGCTTGAACTTAGTTCTGACTCCATGCAATTTAATGATCGATCTTCGCAATCTCCCTCAGATGAAATATCAAAACCTCGAAAACTTTTAGCAAAGTATTCGTCTAAACTGCCAAGTGATCCTGCACCAGCAATGTTCTCGTGTACCCTTATTGTCCGAAAATGAATGACACCGCTTGATTTAAGAATCCACAAAAACACAAATTGAGAATTATAAGAAATGTACAGGCAAGTGCAGTTACTTTGTTTTTTCATAATATTCGCAATGCCAAACCAAGACATCGGATTAGCTGAGATTTCCCATGTAACAGAATATTGAATCGTCATCAAGTCTGCCAAGGCTCTAGCTCGTGCCAACTCTTGAACGTAAAGGGCATTGTTAGGATTTCCAGATGAACAATACAGTAAACTAAGTTTCTGGTAAGAAAAATCGTAAACGTCTGAAAACGATATCTTAAACTGATCATTGTCTCTTAGAAAACCACGCAAACTTTCGCTTTTGTCCATACTCAAGAGCAGATAGTCCAACGCCTCCTGGATCTTCCCTTGGGATAACTCCACCTGTGTAAGGTTGCAAAGAGATTCAATCTCTTTTTCAAGGTCTCCAATATCTCGACTAATTGAAAGGGCTCTCTCGAAATAATCTTTGCCTTTGTCATATTCACCGAGAGATTGAAGTACAATTCCTAAGTTTCCATACTCTGCTGCTTCTCCTTCTCTGTCACCAATTTGTTTTCTGATGGCAACTGCTTTCTCCAGATATCCTTTAGCTCTGTCATATTCACCAAGAGATTCAAACAAAATTCCTAAGTTTCCGTAACAGGTTGCTTCTCCTTCTCTGTCACCAATTTCTATACTGATGGCAAGTGAGTCCTCCAGATATTCATTAGCTTTGCCATATTCACCAATAGATTCAAACACAATTCCTAAGTTTCCTTTACAGCTTGCTTCTCCTTTTCTGTCACTAATTTCTATTCTGATGGCAAGTGCTCTCTCAATATATTCTTTAGCTTGTTCATATTCACCAAGAGATTTAAACACAGCTCCTAAGTTGCCGTAATCTGCTGCCTCTCCTCGTCTGTCGCCAATTTCTATCCTGATGTCAAGTGCTTTGTCAAGATATTCCTTAGCTTTGTCATATTCACCAAGAGATTTAAACACAGCTCCTAAGTTGCCGTAATCCGCTGCTTCTCCTCCTCTGTCACCAGTTTCTATCCTAATGGCTAATGACTTCTCAAGATATTCTCTAGCTTTGCCATATTCACCAAGAGATTTAAACACAGCTCCTAAGTTGCAATAATCTGCTGCTTCTCCTCCTCTGTCACCAATTTCGATCCTGATGGCAAGTGCTTTCTCAAGATATTCTTTAGCTTTGCCATATTCGCCAAGAGATTGAAACACAACTCCTAAGTTTCCGTAACAGCTTGCTTCTCCTATTCTGTCACCAATTTCTATCCTAATGGCTAGTGACTTCTCAAGATATTCTCTAGCTTTGCCATATTCTCCAAGAGATTTAAACACAGTTCCAAAGTTTCCGTAATCTGCTGCTTCTCCTTCTCTGTCACCAATTTCTATCCTGACGGAAAGTGCTTTCTGAAGACATTCTTTAGCTTTGTAATACTCATCAACGGATTGAAACACAACTCCTAAGTTACCGTAACAGGTTGCTTCTCCTTTTCTATCACCAATTTCTTTTCTGATAGCAAGTGCTTTCTCGAGATATTCCTTAGCTCTGTCATATTCATCAAGAGATTCAGATACAATTCCTAAGCTTGCGTAACAGGTTGCTTCTCCCTGTCTGTCACCAATTTCTATTTTTATACCAAGTGCTTTCTCAAGATATGATTTAGCTTCGTCATATTCACAGAGACGATAAGACATGGCTCCAAACTTCCCAGAAGAATAAGCCTCTCCATTTCTATCGCCTATTTCTCTCATGATTTTCATGGCTTTGTTGTAAAGTTCTCTTGCTTCTGCGTATTTGAATTGGTGTTCACACATGTTGGCCAGCGCTAGCGTGATATTCCCTTCCTTGGCTGTTTCGCCACACTCGCGATAAAAGTGAAGAAGTTTCCAGCCGTATTTTGTTGTATTTGTGTAATCAGTCACAAGAGAGTACGCTATGAACAGGGTTTTATGTATAACAATGTTAACTAAATTGAAATATTTGTATTCTTTTTCAGGCACTTCATTATTTAGGAAAATCAAACATTCTTTGCAGACCTCAATGGCTTTGAAACCACGACCAGTGTTGAGAAGAAAAGTTGCAACAGCTAAGCCAATACAGATGACTTGTAAAATGTCTTCCATGCTGTTCATAGCTTTCTCGTCTCTAAACCCTGAAAAAAGATGATCTGGAAAATCAGACTTTTTTTAAATGTAAATTAGCATCATACCTTCGTACCTTTACCAAACCAGCGGTACAATTGAGCACCAGACAATTTAATGCCGGTGCGTAATCTTGCTATGGACTAGCATGCAACCCATCTAGGAGGATGGTGGAAGGAGGGAGGGGGAGCAGAAATAAGTACCCCTAGTCGCTTCACAGGTGGCCCAAGTTCAGCATGTTTGAGTCATTGTCACTTTACGAGACAATTATACGGTAAAAGAGAGGGTGTATGATTAATGATTACCTTCGTTGTACGAGATCGTATCGAAAATACTGTTGTTGCAGCACCCAAAGAAGAAAACCGCCCTACTCACAAAATGTAATTTGTGATCATCGGTATTGACATAAATTGATATTTTGCCGACACGGAACAGAGAACTGGGTGCGAGCGTAGTACGCGAAGGCTCATGGGTAGAAAGTTTGTAAGAAGAGACGGTTGAAACTTGTGACATTCTACGGTCAGCCTTGCCACTATCACTTTCGCATAAGGTCTATTTTTATTGTGTAATTAGCGTTATCTGATTTATCTTTGATTCTGTTGTTTATAGATCAATCTTAAAATCCCAAAGGTGGTGCCACTGCATTTGGTCGGGGGCACACGGTCCTTATTTTTCCTAACAAGAGGTTTTGGGGTTTAGGTGTCCGGCTTTGGCGCATCTAGGACGTTACTTGATGTCTCTCTTATCCACTTTGTTGAAAGCTTATTGTTTTAATTAAAGCATATCTTAAGCCTGGCTGACCAAAGCGCCTATGCCTCAACTTTTGAGTGTGTTTGGTTGTGTAGTGAAGGCAAAATAAACCTTAATCGGTCGTTAAGACGCCTACAACACTGTAAAATCATAATAAATGACAAGAAGACAACCTTAGATGAGTTTAAAGGAAAATGTGTTATGGCCAATTTACAGCAATAGCAGTATTTTCCGTGCGATCTCTTAAAACGAAGGTCATGAGTAAATTATTAATCACGCTCTCTTATACTTTTTATATGTCTCGTAAAGAGATAATGATGCAAATATACTGAAATTGGGCCACCTGTGGTGGGTTAATGACATGTAAACAAGGATAAGCTCTGGTAAGATGAGATACTTTGACTATAACATTACCAATGAAAATGGCGACGCAACGTTAACTTTTGCTCAAGCCATGAGTGAACCTTACCTTACATTAACAAATAAAAAGCACACGTGAAGAATAAATGAGGAATAAGTGTCATTGCAACTGACAAGAAATTACTCTTTCCAAGCCTTCTTTTATAGTGTGTTCACTACTTAACAAATTTTACGTCAAACTTTTCATGCGTCTGTACTGTTATTGACTATGAATTTCGCCATAACATTTCAAAGTAGCTGCAAATTCACTCGCCTATCGCCTCGTAGATCCACAGCTACTTTGCCAATGTTATAACGAAATTCATTGTCAATAATAGGACAGACGCATGGAAAACTGACGCCAATTTGTTTTTTTACGAAATCAAGTTGTCAAATTATCCGCACGCGCTCGTTGACACATCGCATAAATTGTCAAATCATGTCTCTGTCCGCTTATTGACTGTGAAAGTTGCCAATGAGCGTGCGAGAATTTCTGCACTTGTCGTAAAAATTGATTTCGAATATAGCAGGTCTGATCACGGTTTTGGAAGCCATCTTGACGGGTATGAAACGGTGTCAGAAAGTGTTTGTAAATGAATCCGATGGCAAATAATTTTCTTAAAAATGGACTAAACAATTTATGAATATCAAATTAACAGTAACAGTACCTTTGAAGAAGTAAACTGAGATACTAGGTAAAGGATTCATTACTCAAATTTGAGCGATATATAGCTGAGCTACAAAGCGCCCATTTGAAATGTGAAAATGTGAAAATTTGGTTGTTTTCCGAAATCCCAAGGAAACAGATGATCATATCACGCATGCGTTTGGCGGTATGCGGGATGGGTTTTGAATATAGCGGGATACGGGATGTTAACACACGCACCTCAGTTGGTAGAAACATGATATGCACTCTTTGGCACTCGATCGGGACGTGTTACGCTTTTGAATTGAATGGCGAGATACTGTGTGAAAAACAACAAATCGCACTTTTCCTATGAACCTAACAGTTTTGCTTAACTGTTCTCTTAGGAACGTACATCAGATCAACCAGCTCGAAATACGCCTCGAGGGGCCACAGAAATTGAACTCAGTCGAATTTCATTATTCCTCGTTATCCTTAGTGTCGGCCATAGTAGGGTGACGAAATGCGAGTGGATCTAGAGACTCCTGGCGAATAACTGCTAACAAAAGATTTTATTCCGAGACCTCCGCGCGCCTTGACCAGTAGGCTACACAATTATTCGAAGGACTTTTCAGTTCGTGATATTTGGAACAAGCCAGATGGATATGGTAAGTGGCATTATAGAAACCGAAATTATAGATTGTTTTAAAAGAAAAAAACAAGAAGAAAAAACTAGCGACTAAATAACTTACTATTGTTTTGTAGCCTGTGTGCAGCCGTCCGTTTTCCTCAAGAAAAACTACAGATAAGCGATTGTTTTTCCTTCAGATAATTGTACTGCTCGTATAAATTATCAATCCATAAAACCATTTCAGTTTCACAGCATCTGACGTGACAAGCGAAAACAAAAAATATATACCTGCACTTGATCCTTTTAAGGTGTGTTACTGATCAATAACAATTCGACCTTCAGTTTCCTGTCATAGTCTGTAAAGATTGACACGCTTTAAAGACAAATAAGGCAAGTTTTCGTAGAAGGACTGATATTGCTCGGTCTATTATGATGATACTTTTATGACAAGAGAGACCGTGAATTTACCATTTTATTGATGTAGTTTTCTCGATTTTATCGAATGCGTTCTTCCCTATTTTCATTGTAACACACCCTGAAATCACAGAACCAAGCAGCTTCGACTTTGCGATTATTTAAATTAGCCTCGGCTATATCTTATTTTCAACTGGTTAGATAAAGACCGGAAAAGAAACATTAACGGTAGTAACTTTCTACTGGAAATGGTTCAAAGTGGAAACTACGAAATACTCCACGACGTATTACGCAGAGGTTTGGCGCGATGCGAGATTAAACTTGTTGACCGAAGCATAATATGCACTCTTCGGCAAGCGAGATGCGTAGAACGCATTTAATTAAAATTAAAGGCGTTGTACGGAACAAAAACAGCAAATTGCAATTCCTCGGTGAATTCTACGGTTTTACAAAAATGATTACTTAGGAGCGGACATGGACGTTTAAGGAGCACCAATTGCGCCTCGAGAGACCGAGTAACCAACATAAACTTGTCTTTTATTACTCGTTATCCTCCTCGCTTACCAAGCACGGTAATGCAATACCCGTGGTTGTAAATTGTCTAGTTCGATGTGCCGTTGAGACCCGAGTTATTTACTCGGATAAAATCGAACAAAGTTTTACTAGGACTAAATCAAGCTGTGTACGAACGATTGAAGGTTTATTGTTACGTGATAATGTTGCACTGTTTTGTTTTTCGTCCGTAGAGTAGGGCCAGTATGTATACATGTGGGTTTTATTGATTTATGGCCAATTCTCAAGCCTGAATGTGGGGAATTATAATGACCTGTCAAAAGATGCACGTAGCATTTGCTACAGCGCCTCACCATTACACTGCTAGCATATTAGTGCGAGCGAGAAAACTTGATTCAGGACCTCTTTACGCCTTAACCATTAGGCCACACAATTTCTGACGGAGGTTTTCATCATCTCGAATGAGCAAGATGGACATGATAAGTTATATCATTAGAAGCTGAAATTATGCTTTGTTGTAAAGAAAATAACAGATAGCTTACCGCTGTGTAGTAGTCTGTGAGCAGCCACATCCGCTTTTCTCAGGCATTAAGAAAAACTGAAGAGAGGCATCAGTGTGTTACTGTTAATAACTGTGTTCCTCGCATAAATTATCCACACATTTCAATTTCACAGTATCTGACGTGTCAAGCAGAAACTGGAAAAAGGAAATTTTTTCTACACGTGATCTTTCCATAAGGCCATTAACGATTTACCTTTGAACTGTCGTCTTTGCTAAATACAGACGAGATAGCCGTCCAATGGCTCTCAAATAATATTCATCAATCCATTTTATTGCGAATGTTTCGATGAAATCCAACTTCCAATTCACATTTTAACACACGCATGTCTGTGCAATTACTCTTTGCGTCGGGTACTAATTATAATGTAGTTTGCACCATTTAATTGATGATATTCTT